AATATGCTTGATATAAGTGATGTATGAATTGTTATAAGAGTTGTAAGAGCCCCCAATAAAATGATCTTTAAAAAAATCTGTAACCTAATAAATAACTAGTCAGTTACTGCTATTGTAGAGTTCTCTATTTCTCTCTTCAATTCTGTTATACTTCAATTTATGTATTTTAGACTGTATCTTTGAGTGCATAGATACTAAGGCTTTGTACTCCTGTTCAATAAACCCTGTGATAATGTTCTTTCTTTTCTCTTATGCTGCTATTTTAAGTAAAATTTATTTTCTCAGAAGTTAATGTTGCTAGTCTTGTGCTGATTTGACTGCCTTTTGCTTGATATATATTCTTCTTTCTTTTGCCATTTCTATCAGTTTGTCCTTTAGTGATAAGGTAACTAAATGGCCTAGGACTCTGTAGAGTTGCCCTTGTATTTCTTGTACTTCATTTACCCCAGCCTGCAAGAAGGCTCACTGGGATGGGAGAACTGTCACCGTGTTTGGTATCTGTATCTTCTGCCTATGCGCCTTCCCGAGCTTGTACAGATGCATATCAAGAAGTAAAAAATGACTCACACACACAAAAAGGAAATCATAAGTCTGTAACTGGAAAGAAAATCAGCTGCTGAACAAATGAGAATCATCCCTCTCCTAATTTAATCTGATTTTGGTACATGTGCTGAAGAAGCAACCTCTACTTCTGTGGGCATCCTGGCATCAGAGAGGTGGGAAACTGCTTTTCTTTGATCCTAGAACTTGCTCTTGCTCTTGCTTCTCCTCCTTTTAGTTAATTCTTCCTATTCCAGCTGCTTGACTTCAGAAATCATCTTCTCTTCCCTCTTCCTAATTTCTTTACTCGTTTAGAGCCTGCTACCCCTTCCTGTTCCATCAAGAAAGTACTAAGACTTGATTTATTCTTGATTCAGCTTAGGATAAAAGTAGCTGTGGCCATATAGGCTATGGAAATCTTTGGAAGTAAAGTACTAAGACATCTTGGAAAAGATACACTCGTTGTGATTCAGCTATGTTTAGTGGTTATCTGTCTTGATTAGACACAGCTCAAATATGCATCTTCCCTTCAAGATGTCTACACTGTGTTAGCAATCTTGATCTTCTCAGACCTGGATAAAGGTTTTTGTTTTGTTTTGGTATTAAATGCTCTACTGAATCAGAATCCTGGAAAGGTAGGGCAAATCATCTCAAGTTTTTATGGACTTTGCTAATGATTGTGGGGTCCAGACTCATTCATAAGTCCTATTCTCCTTCTGTAATTCTCATTCTCTTTTTTCATGCCCTCTCCCTTTCTAATAAGAGAAAATATAATGGTATTAGCAAGACTTTGTGTTCTAGTCAGTTTCTGTTTTCATGATTATTTATCAAAAGACAAATGAGCTGAAAAATGTTTTGTGACCTTGTTGAGATCAACTCGATTCCCTCCAAGCTTATAGTTTTGAGCCCTGTCTGACCTCTGATTCATCAAGGTAACATAAGCTGCTTATTAAGAGGGAAGGACCTTCATCTTCCATTCAAATTGTTCTCAAACTTATATTAAATAATGAGTGATGCTAAAGGGCTCCTGAGCAGATGAGGAAAGGTACATTTTAATCCTCGTAATTCTGTAGACAGGGGAATTAGATGACAAGCCAAAGCCGTTTTCTTCATTAAGTTGAACACCTTCCCTCTTGAGGACTGGGTAGTTTAGGGAAATGTAAATTGACAATGTGATCTAAAAAACAGAAGGGTTTTTCCCAAAACCATATGGCCTACAGTCCATAATCCCAAGACTATAATATGACCTTTTTCAGAATGACATATAATAGCCTTTGCTCTTAAAATTTTTCCCTCATCTTTCCCCTCAAAAAAAAAAATTATCAAAAAAAAATATATATATATCAAATTGCAGCGACTCGGCTCTTTTTCTTTCAGTGAAAACCAGCACCTTCTTATCTTCAGTTGATCAAAGAAGCAACTAGAAATTATGAACCAAGCAATAAAAATTATGTAAAGTGACAGTTGCACAAAATTCCATTTGCATATTAAAAGAACTTTAGCTACTCCTTGTGCCCTTGGGGTAAAGACTGATGTTCTAATAAGTTAATAGCCATTCTCATGCTTAACACTTTGAAACACTTTGTTTCTCTCATGTGCATGAGAGCACTATTCACTATGGCCAAAAACAAAACATAAAAAAAGGTGGAAATAACCTAAAAAACACCCCCCCCCCCAAAAAAAAATCACTGACTCATAGTGACCCCATAGGACAGGGTAAAATTACCCCCTGTAAGTTTCCAAGACTGTAACTCTATACAGGAATACAAGCGTCATCTTGCTCCAGCTGGTGGTTTCCAACTGCTTACCTTTGGTTAGCAGCCCAGCGCATAGCTACTGTGCCACCAGGGATCATATGAACCTAAATGCCCAGCAACAAGTGAGTGAACAAAATGTACATACATGTGGAATACTACTCAATCAATAGGAAAAATTGAAGGCTTGATACATAGTACAATATGAATGGGACTTGGAAGAATTGTGCTAAGTAAAATAAGTCAGTCACAAAAGGAAAATGCTATATGACCTCACTTATATAAAAAGACAAGATAAGATGTAGAGACCAAAGTTTACTCGTGCTTACCTGGGGTAGAAAGGAGGGAGGAAGGAGGGACACTGCTTATGGAGTACTGAATTTCAGTGTTTGGTGATGGAAAAATAGCATTCATTAAAGTTAAGGTTATTCAGCTGATAAGTGCTGTCAAGAAATTGTACAGCAATTAAAAAAAAAAGTAGCTTTTCAGGCTGTGTATGTATAGCCAAATGCTTCCTGGGATTTGGTCCCTATGTTTGGAGCTTTAGGATCATGATTTCATGAGACATCCTACTTAATGGACATAATGACATGGTTAATGCTTCTGTTCTACCTCCTGATTTAATATATAATGCCTGGGGCCTTAAAGGCTTTCAAATGGTCATCCAGGGAACAACATTTGGTCTCTATCAGCTAAAGCTACGGAGGAAAGAGAGTCGGGAGGATATGAAATGTGTGCCTAATTGTTTCTGTGAACAATTACCTCCTTTGCCAAGGGACCAAAAGAACTGGGTGGTGCCCAGCTACCATTACTGAACATGCGATCCAAGATTCTAGAGAAGAAACCTAGATCAGACATGTTTCTACCAAACCTTCAGAGAAGAGCTGATACTAATTGTACTCATTCCAACTATTTCTAAACAGAAGCCCTTATCTCACAGTAGTTATGCACTGGGCTGCTAACCAGACTGCCAGCAGTTCTAAACCACCAGCTGTTCCATAGGAGAAAGATGGTGCTTTCTACTCCCGTACACAGTTACAGTCTTGGAAACTCAGGTGCAGGTGCAGTTCTACCCTATCCTACAAGGTCGCTGAGAGTTGGAATCTATTTGATGGCAGTGAGATTAGTTTTTTGGTTTTATTTCAAAACATAGAATAAGATTAAATATTCCCCAATTCCTTCAATGAGGCAAGCTTAATCATGATACCAAAGCCAGGCAATGACACTGACAAACAAATGACAGACCAGTATCATTCATAAACATAAAAATTCTCTTCGAAAGAATTCAACAGAAACCAATAGAATTTTTAAAATATATCAAAATAGTAATACATCATGACCAAGGGGGCACCAAAAAAAAAAAAACCCAAGCAGAATTACAATGGGCAGAACAGAGTTTTTTGTAGTATGTATTTTTCCTGCTAGGCGAACATCGAGCAACTCGCTCTGAGTTAGTGCACCCAGTGGCATTGCCTGGAAAGTTTCTCCTTTCTGGTCATAGTGAGCTTTTTCGTAAAAGCAACTTTGCTCGAACCTCGTTTTTTGTGATGGCCAATTTAAGCAAACAGCGTGCAGCTGTGAAATTTTGTTTCCTGCTCAGGAAAAGTGCTGCAGAAATTGTTGTGGTGTTGAACACAGCTAATAAGGACAGCACTATGGGAAAGACTCAAATGTATGATGAGTGGTTTTCTCATTACAAAAAGGTGAAATATCAACAGATCACAAACCTTGTTCTGGATGTCCATCAACTTCCCAAATGGACAAAAATGTCAATTCATAGTGCATTTGTGATGTATTTGGAGTTCATTCCACCAGGTCAGACTGTTAATCAAGCATTCTATTTAGAGGTTCTTAAAAGATTGCATAACAGTATGCAACAAAAAAGGCCCGATTTGTGGCAGACAGGAGACTGGTTTCATCACCACAACCATGCACCTGGTCGTGAAACCATCTCAGTGCACCAGTTTTTGGCTAAAGCAGTAAAAACAGCATGCCCCTTTTGCTCCACATACCTTACTCACCTGACCTCGCTCCTTGTGACATCTTTTTGTTTCTGCAAATGAGGAAGCACATGAAAGGACAGCGATTTGACAATGTAGAAAAGGTGAAGGAAAAAATGAGGGAGGTGCTGTCAGCCATCCAAACCGATGAGTTTGAAAAATGTTTCCAGGAATGGAATTGTAGATTTGATAAATGAATATAATGGAGTATACTTTGAAGGTTATAAGGTTGTTTGTAAAAAAATTTAAATATATAGCTTTGAGAAAAAAATTGTTCTTTTGAAGTACCACCTTGTATATATGTTTATTCTTCCTTATGTGTACCTCTTAATGGATTAGGTATACCTACGCCTAACCTCCACTATCAGAAAACAGGTTTCCCTCTCCATTAATTCCAAGCCCCTCAGTCTGACCATAACCAGGAATGTGTAGAATATATCCTGTGAAATATTCCTTGACAAATTAATTTTCATACCAAGAAATTTACTTTGCCTCCTATATATTATAGCAAAATCTAGAAACAAATTCATTGTAATTTTGTTCTTATTTTAAATTACAGATTCTAATGAATTTGGAGCAAGGCTTAGCTGAAGATGGGAGCATGAGTAATATTACCCAAGAAAACAGACAAGGTAGGTGTGTAAAGCTTTTAAATTAATTACCAGAAGTTGTCCAAAGACAACTATTTTTAACTTTCTCTTGCACTCCTAATTTTTTTCTTAATTAGTAGTTCATTTACTCATTCACTTCTTTATTTTTCCAGTAAGCCAAGCACTGTGCTCATAATGAAATCCACCCTCTGGAGACCTCCATTAGTCAAATAATTATACAAATCAATATAAACTTATACACTGAGCTAATTACTATGAAGAAAACAGTATGACTGGGAAAACTAATAGGAAAGGGATCTGCCTGGACTGGGGAACCTAGAAAGCCTTTCTTATGGAAATGACACTTGACCTGAGATCTGAAAGTCCAGTAGAAGTTTATCGTGGGAGCCTGGGATCTGGGACAGGCCGCAGATAGGACTCATGACAGAAGGAATCACAGTTCTCACAGCAGGCTAGTGCGTCAGCTGGAGAGTGTTACAGAATGAGGTCCAGAAGAGGATAGAGACCATTCCTTATAGGGGCTTGGACCCCATAAGGTTATTAGTCTTTATCTTAAAAGCAGGGCTCTAAACCAGTTCGTTCCTATTTGACCACCTGCTGAGAATCCTCCCCCCCCCCCAAGATAAACTGAGTCAGAATCTTACTTTTAATAAGATTCACAGGTGATTTTTATAGATCCCCAAGATCTACATATTGTACACATTTATTTGTATTCGTAAGAATCATCTGAGATCCTGTTATAAAATCCTCAGGTTTGAATATACCCTTAATGATCATAGTTTAGTGAGTGTGGTAGTCTGGGTATTTTAGAGAAACAAATCCACAGAAACTCATGTATAAGAGAGCTTTAAATAGAGGTTAAGTGCACATCAAGAAAACAACCCAACCCAGTGCTGCCCAAGCCCACAAGTCCAGCATTAACCCATATGTCTGACACCAATCCACAAAGTCCTCCTCCATCTCACAAAACACACACTATGACACCGACTGCAGGAGGAAAGCCGAATCAGTGAATGTGTAAGCATCTCAGCACTGGCAGGGGTCTCCACACGGCTGCTCCAGCACCCAGGGCTGCATCGGACTAGGTCCATGCGGCTTCTCCTTGGTGATTTCTTGCAGGAAGTGAGTCTTGTAGGTTGAAGGAGGGAACTGGCAAGGCAGCTGCACCCTGGTCCGACTATCAGAAAGCAAGAGACCTGAGAACTAGGAAGGCAAGGCTCACCAAGCCATTTATCCCTCTGCCCTTCAACTAACCCCACGTGTTTATCGGCCAGGTTGGCACAATAAAGTAACTACTTCAGTGAATGTGCCTTATACTGACCTACAAAGCTATTGAAATTTATTTCCATATGTTAGTCTGGGTAGACTAGAGAAACAAATTCATAGACAGTCATGTTTATGAGAGAGTTATATAAAAGAGCAATTTGAACATTGAGAAAACATCCCAGCCCAATCCAGATCAAGTCCATAAGTCTGATAATAGCCCATATGTCTGATACCAATGTATAAATCCCTCCTCAGTCTCACAGAACACTTGCAATGATGCCAAATGCAGGAAGATCACAGGCTAGTGGATGGAAAGTCTTGTGGATCCATTGGCGGTGTAAGCATCTCAGTGTTGGCAGGGGTCTTCACGTGGCTCCTCCAGCACTGGAACATTAGCGTAGCTCCATGTGTCTTGTAAGCAGAAATGCTCTCAGGGAATGAGTGTGTGTCCCGTCTCCAGCAAGCTATTTACCTCCTTAGCACTTCCAAATAAGGTCATCAAGTTGTGACCTGATTAATAGGCTAAACTCCACCCCTTCACTCTTAAGTCTTAAATTGACACCAAATTATGTATCTACCACATTCTATCTCCTTCCAAATTTGAATGGTCATCTAGAAATGATGTTTACTGTTGTCCTGCTTAATAAGAACAGAATTAATTGCTAAAATTAAGAATTCACTTTGCTTTTCAACCATTAAAAATCTGACCATTATCTTTTTTTTAAATGGATGTTTAATGTGGATTGACTCAAAGGAATAGACATTTCTATTTTCCCCATAGATTTCTTTTTAGCTCCAATTCTTCCCCAGTTCTCCAGGTAAATCTGCTTATCTGTGTAACTCTGTTAAAATTCCAGGTGTTATCTTTTTATATCTAATACCTGTGTGCTTGTTCAAGGTGAAGCAGGGTAAGAATCAAATGGCACAGGGACAATGCTGGAAAATATATGGGATGTCTAAGAATTAATGGTCAACTCTTTTCAAAAGGAAAACCAAACTTGCTGCCATCAAGTTCATTCCCACTCATAGCAAGCCTATAGGACAGAGCAGAACTGCCACTAAGGGTATCTGAGACTCTCAATTTTTGTGGTAGAAAGCTTCATCTTTCTCCTATGGAGTGGCTAGTGGTTTCAAGCAGCTGATCTTATGGTTAGTAGCCCATCAGCCCTATGCCATTTCACTTCTCTCAGGCCGTGGTGATTTACTTGTAGTTAAATTGCTGAAACACACAGTTAAGGGATTTCTGAAACAAAGGACATTTTTCTGTAAAAGTCATTGTAGCCTCATTGCTGTTAACTACAGCCAGCAACATATTCTAATGCATGCCACCCTGTCCGTGTCCACTGCCATGACTAAGTTGCAGAGCCTCATACTCCGGCTGCTGGAGTAGCATTCCCACTAGCATCCCATCTCCAAGATTCTCCTCTCCGCCTCTTCTTTCACACATCAGGCCTTCTCAAGGTACCACTAGAGAGGAAACTTAGTACCTGTCGGTGAAATACATGTCAACCAGTATTTAGGGAATCTATGGTGTCAGGCAGAGAGATATATACCAAAGAGATATGTAACCATTTGTGGGGGAAATCCCCTTCTGAAAGAATTGGGTGATGGGACCACTGTAGACACTGTATGTGTAGAGAGGCCAGGGTTTTGCACTGGTTAGACCCCCTGCTGAGAACTTAAGACTTCCACACCAAATATACCAAATCGGAATCTGGATTTTAACAAGAGCCCCCAGAGATTCATATATGTACAATTTGTAAAAATTGTAAGGGTTTTTGGGGCGCGAAACGGAATTAAGGATCCAATTGGTAAAGTTTTAGAAGCAGGCTTTATTGAGAAGCTTGCGGGCGGGTTCAGTAACTCACGTATTGAGCTAATGAAACCGCGTGAGGGTAATTTCTGGCTGCGTTTTTATATCCCCTGGTGGCAGGCACAGCTGCATACAGGGACTTCAAAGGGAAGCGCTCATTAATTTTATCTATAGGTCCGGGATGGGTGGAATAAACACATCTTCAAGGGATGCAGGGAAGTGGTCGTTAATCTTATCTATAGGTACCGGGGCAGGTGAAGTAAACATATCTTCAAAGAACATTCTTTCTCGGGGATGTCTGGTTCTCAGAACTGGTGATTTTCAGCGAGGGGAGGGGAGGCCGATGTGAGGGAGGCCCATGAGAGGTGAGTTCTGAGAACCAAGAAGGTACCGGATTCAAAATGGAGTCCCTTGTGCCAAGACCAGGCAAAAATGTAGATTCTGATTATGTTTCTGGAGGGGAAATGCCGGTTCTCAAGAGGAAGTCAAACTACAATGAGCCAGTTCCAACCAGCCTTGCAATAGATGAAGTCTGTGGTCGCCTAGGTTCGGGAGGAGTTGCCCACGTGACAGCAGATGTTGGGAGGAACAAAGCCTTCCTGGAGAACCCACCACCAATTGCTCTCAAATCATGTCTAAGCCATGACAACTCCATGTAAAGGGATTTTAAAATGTCCCTAGTACGACTCCTGCAGATACCATAGGGGAAGCCTATATACATCATCATCATCATCCTGACTTATATGTTAGTACTTTTACACCTACTAATTATCATGCCTGATTCTCACAAAGATTGTAAAGTGAGTAGGAGAGGCTAGAATAAACTGTTGTTTCCATTGAGAAGATTGAGAAGGTAGGTAACCTGAGGCAAAGCAACTGAAGCAGAGCAAAGGGCTGGTGTTCTGACCCGCCTACTTGGGCCTCCGTGAAGAAACATTGTCTCCAGCAGCCAGCCCTGCCTGCCAGGAGAGACAATGCAGCTGAATAGATTTGGTACCCAAAGGCAATGCCATACCTATCCCAGACAGCAAACCTCGCCTGGCAGGAGTTCAGCTTTGAAAGTCTCTCCAGCCACCTTGGTCCATCACATTCCCCAACCAATTAACTTTTGTCCCATTAATTACACAACGGCCAGCAGATGGTCATCGTCATTTACATTGGATTTGCGTATTTTCGTTGGGTCCTAAGTGTAGAAGCGTGGCTCTTGGTTGGATTAGTGAATCTTTTGTCTGAACTGAAGGCGAGCAATGCCGTACTGTGTCTCATGGTTGCATCGTTTATGCAGACGTTCTATTCCTAGAACCAATCGCAGGGCTAGCCCCTCTGAGAGGTGCTGTATTTTCTGTCTCACCATGCAGCTCGGCAGCACATTAAAAATTCTAGGCTAAAACCCAGTGGTGTGAACAAGAGGGATCCTTTAAATCAGAATTCACAGGACCCAATAATTGATGGCTAGAAAGAACCTCTAATTTATTTGTGCACATTCACAAGCTGCTCTTATTTTGCAGCCTCTGTTCAGCTGTGGAGGTCACGTCTGGGCCGGGTGCTGTACTCTGTGGCAAACTGTCTGCTAATGATGAAGGTACGTGGGTGGCAGGCACTGCAGAGCTACCGCATATTCCAGAATAGAACGTCAGTACAAAAGCTGCAGTGGAATTGCTTGCATATTCTGCTAAGAAAAAGCTCCCAAAGTGAATGTGAAGGTTTACCTAAGCAGAGAATTAAATCTACCAAGTAATGGTTTATTTAATAGATAGTTCAGTAAGACACTTGGGGCTAAATTTCTTTTTAATATATACTAAAAATTTTCAGAACGCAGAATTTACATTTCCAAATTTAATTGCTTAAACATGAGCCTAAATGATTTCATTAAACTCATTATTCATTTTCATTCTGTCTCTCCCCGTCTCTTCCTATCTGCTTTTCTCTGAATTCCATCCTACAAAGGTAGCCTTTTGTTCTTTAGTGAGATTTTTTTTTCTGTCTTAATTTGATTGTATGATTGATGGATATGACATCTAAAGACAGGCATCCCCACAAGACTCTGTTCATAGAACTTCACCTCTGAGCTCACAGTCTCTTAGGGAAACAGCTTAAAAATAAAGGAGACTTTTTTACCGGTCTGTGCTCTTCCCCCAAGCAGTCCCTCCCCGGCTGATGCAGCCATGTGTTTGGATTCTCTCTTTGTCTGAAAAAACTGCAACCGCGACAATCCACACACTGCTCACCTCCGGCCTAGGAATCGGGATGTCCTGATGCTAAGTGGTTGGCTCAGCCTGCCAGCTGTAGGGGCTGAACGCTTACTGTTGCTGCAGCAATCAATTAGCAGCAAACACCCCAGAGCAGCACTATTAACACCTCTCGGCTATTATAAGAGATCATAACTCCTCCCACACTCCCAGTTTTCTAGCTGCCCAAGGTCATTGTGAGCTTGGTTTTCAGGTCGGCAGAGCAGTTAATTTACCAAGTGGAGAAATGTGCTCCGAAGGTTCCATTTTTTTAACCCTGACAGGGCAGCTCTGCTCATTTTCAAAATGGATCCCTCCCTCAGCAACCCTCTAAGACAGGTTCTCAACCTGTGGGTTGTGACCACTTTGGGGGTCGAATGACCCTTTCACAGGGGTCACTCACTTCATACCAGTAGCAAAATTACAGTTATGGATAGCAACGAAAATAATGTTATAGCTGGGGGTGACCACAACTTGAGGAACTGTATGAAAGGGTTGTGGCTTGAGGAAGGTGGAGAAGCGCTGCTCTAAGATGACCGTGCCCCTAGGCATGCCTTGGAGGGCAGTTGGGCATGAATTCATAGCCGTAAACAACTCAGCGGGTCAGGCGAGCAAGAACAATGCCATACGAAGAAATGCAGGCTGCATCCAGGCTTTAGAAGGCACCAGTTGTGGCTGTGCAGAGAATTCCTATCCTGTGGTCTCTGATTTCTGTGCTTCCTTCTATGCATGTCTGATATTGCAAATATGGACAGGAAATTTTAGAAAATCATTTTCTCTATCAGGTGACCTTGAAGCAGCCTCTTCACACCTGTAAACTTCAACCCCCTCCTTTATAATGAGGGAATCGAACTGTTTGTCTTTGAAATCCTTCCCAGCTCTAGCCTTCCACACAGCTCTTTCCTCTCTTCCTTCAACACTGAATAAAGGAAAATGTGCTTTTTAGGGGAACTCAGTCTTTGCTCATAGTATTTTTTCTTCCAGTCTCCTCGTGTCTACGCTATCTCTGGCTGATGAGGTCAGTTGCCTATGTGTATGTTATTCATCCTCTTCCCCCTTTCCACCTCCATCTGCTGCTCTCACTGCTACCTTCCCATCGCGCCTCTGATTTCTTCAGTAGGTCTTCTGTATCTCTAAGTGACAGTGAGTAGCAAGCCCTGCATCCTTCCACCATCCTCCAGGTAGAGGTTGCATCTTCAACAACGTAGCCTTTGGCGTAAACGCACGACTTCTCAAAGCACAGTATCCTTTTTCCTCTGCCCACCTGCTCCCCAGGTACCAGACTATATCCTCCCACTCAGCAGTCTGGGCAATCTGTGCGAGACTCTGGCCTTACCCTGAAGGCCATTCTCATCACCTGAAATTCACCTCATTTTCCACAACGTTCTTTGCCCCTCCCTCAAAAAGTGAACAAACGGAATGTTCAGTGGGTTGTGGAAGCATAAACCATGCAGGTTAAATCATGGAGCTACAACGCCTCAGTGTGTCTTGTTTCTTATTTCATTGGTGGGTTTTTATTTCCAATTTTAAAGTGTATTAGAGAAAGATCTAGGATAAAAATATTTACCAGAGACCAAATTCTATATATATTATTGGAACTCGCTACAAAACGTTGCATTAAAAAAAAAAACACTTTTACAATGAATACAATTTAATTTGAAATTTTAGATGAATCTTTAATTTTCCTGAGTAAAGGAGTACCAAAATTTTTCAATTAAATCTGACCCAGGTAGATGCAGTCTCTTGCCACCTAGTGACCTGGTACAGGTATGCAGCATTACTTTATTTGTTTGGGCTAACAGCGAGTTATTTTATCAGCCATTTAGTTATTTTGAATAAAATTCCTATTACAATGAGATAAACATTCATTTAATTTATTTTAATGATGAGAAATTTGTTATGTGCTTCAGCCCCAAATATCTGCATAATATCCTCTACGGACATAATTGCATATGTTGCAAAGCCTTTAAAAAATTCACCAAGCTCACATTTAATATGTGACTTCCTATTCTTTGAATTCACCCTTGAATTAAGGCTTCTGCACAGGCCAACCATACATGTGCACATGCCTGCATTCCTCAGGTATGCCTAGACCTGCCCTGTGTATCTGCAAAAGCCCACTGACCTCAGACTGTCCCCCTAGATTCCACCCACACTACACTTCTCCACCATTGTAGCTTCTCGTTCAATATAAAGGAGAGTGAATGCAACTGTGTAGATCACCGTTTAAGCCTTCTTGCTTAAATTACACTACGTTACTCTCTTGCTTAAAGTGTACTTGCTGGTTGTAAAATTATTGTAAATCTAGTCTTTCTGCCACTAAACAAGCGTAGTTGTCTAAAGAAAAGATGAAGATTGAACTGAAATATGTTTGTTCCTTTTAGCAAATCATTTGTATCCTTTTTTAAAAACTAAATCTATATGATCTAGAGAGTGAATTAAGCTCTCTTTGAAGAGCTACTTTTAGCCATTTTCCCTTAACGTAACCTTATTTCCTCCACCTCAAATAAATAAGCGATTTTATTAAGTAATAATCAACTTGGGAAGTTCGCTAACACAATCATGCTCCAGTTTATTTGATGATAGGCCTCTTGAAACATGTCAAAGGGCATTCCACCTGGTTAGGACCGAGCTGCCTGGCAGTCTTCCCGTTCCAGGCTGAGGCCCCCATCTATCGCCGGCCTGCACTCCCAGGTGTGACTTCCCGAAGCTGGCGCAGCATCCCATACATCACTGTGTTGGAGGAACTTCATCTTCCTAGTTCCTTCTGCTGTCTGATGCACTTGTCTTGAGTTCGGCTTTCTCACGCTGGTTTCTAAACATTGGATCCTGAAAGAACAGTTTTGATCAACAATAAAAGCATTTCGCCATCATGAGAATGGCTCAGTTTTTGACAACTTGCCCTTTCCAGTGTCAGAGGATCTTCAGAAGCCCCCAATTCCTGACCTTGAGAGCAGAAAGAGAAAGGTGTTACATCAATGGCACTGCTCTCTAGGCCCGCATTGCACCTCCAAGAGGGGACTGCTGGAGGCACAGCATTGTCAGCCCCACGAGGGCACTTCCCCTTCCTGCCAGGCTGCAGTTCCACTCCCTGCATGTATTAAGCCATCTTAGCCAAGCGTGCAGTCAGAGTGCATGAAGGCACAGAGTTGGGCACATGCACTAGGCATGACCCTGTGACACTGAAAAAAACAACAAAAAAGAAAACCTTCCTGCCACTGAGTCCATTCGATTCATAGCAGGCCCTGTAGGACGGGGTGGAGCTGCCCCTCTGGTTTTCCAAGATGGTAACTTTTGTTTGGAGTAGAAAGGCTTGTCTTTCTCCTTTGGAGCAGCTGGTGGTTTCAAACTGCTGACCTTACTGTTAATAGCCCAGCATGTAACCACTATGCCATCAAGACCCTTAGTGACATTAAAGTGCTAATTAATTTCTTTTTTAAGTCATTTGTTAACTATAAGCCAAAAGCAAAGAGCATATGTTAAATGTTAACAAACGACTGCTATTGAAATCATCACTATTTATTAGGTGCCCCATGGGGAACCAGCCCCTCCCTCAGAGAAGTCTTCAGAGTACTGCTGCTTGCTGTCTGTTACCTTCCAACTTCAGAGCTGCCAGAACAGAAGTGTCCCTCCTGGTAGCCAACTGAATGCTACCCTCTGCCCCATCATAAAACAGTGCCTCTTCTCCGCTAAACTTTTCCAGAAGCAGGCTCTGAGAGCAGGCCCTGAAGCTGCAATAAGGAGGACAAGAGCTTAGTGTTGCGTACACCAAAGGCTTAGGTATTGAAGGAAAATCAGTTGGGGTGAGGCGCACACACATGCATGCAAAACTCGACATAGGACAGCCCTGTCACAGTCCACACTCACAGCAGGAAGTGGTAGCAAAAGGAAACTAAGGTATATGCCATTCCGCTCCTTGTGAGCATCATGCCTTGAATAAAATTAGCTTTATTTCTTTTTTAAATCATTTTATTGGGGATTCATACAACTCTTACACAATCCATACATACATCCATTGTGTCAAGCATATTTGTACATTTGTTTCCCTCATCATTCTCAAAACATTTGCTTTCTGCTTGAGCCCTTGGCATCAACTCCTCATTTTCCCCCTCCCTCTCCACTCTCCCCTCCCTCACGAACCCTTGATAATTTATAAATTAATTTTATTTTGTCATATCTTGCACCGTCTGGCATCTCCCTTCACCCACTCTTCTGTTGTCTGTCCCCCAGGGAGGTGGTTATATGTAGATCCTTATAATCAGTTTCCTCTTTCCACAACACCTTCCCTCCACCCTCCCGGTATCGCCACTCTCACCACTGGTCCTGAAGGTATCATCTGTCCTGGATTCCCTGTGTTTCTGGTTCCTTTCCTGTGTTTCCGGTTCCTATCTGTATCAATGTACATCCTCTGGTCTAGCCGGATTTGAGAGGTAGAATTGGGATCATGATGGGGGGTGGGGGGTGTGGAGCATTTAAGAACTAGAGGAAAGTTGTATGTTTCATCGTTGCTACACTGCACCCTGACTGGCTCGTCTCCTCCCTGCGGCCCTTCTGTAAGGGGATGTCCAGTTGCCTACAGATGAGCTTTGGTTCCCCAATCTGCACTCTCCCTCATTCACAATGATATGATTTTTTGTTCTTTGATGCCTGATACCTGATCCCTTCGACACCTCGTGATCACACAGGCTGGTGTGCTTCCATGAATAAAATTAGTTTTAATGAGCTGTATTTGAAAGTACTAGACCAGAGAGTGAGTCTTAATTTTTTTCCCTGCCAAACTGGAATTTTACTTGTCGCTTCTTTATAATATCCCAATTAGCAAACCAGTACTTCTGAGTCCCAGTTTAGATAAAATTGGAAACATAAAATTAAAAGAGGAAGAAAAAGAGCTGCTGGAGTTTTACAAGGAATAACAAGAGAAAAATACACTGGCAGCATGTTTATTGCTGACCATGTGCTGTAAATAAATGTGATCATATATTTAGCATAGTTTCTTTTTAAAATTATTTTATTGGGGGCTCATACAACTCATCACAATCCATACATACATCCATTGTGTCAAGCACATTTGTACATTCGTTGCCATCATCATTCTCAAAACACCTGCTTTCTACTTGAGCCTTTGGTATCAGCTCCTCATTTTTCCCCTCCCTCTGCCACCCCTCCCTCACAAACCCTTGATAATTTATAAATTATTATTTTGTCATGTCTTACACTGTCCGACGTCTCCCTTCACCCACTTTTCTGTTGTCTGTCCCCCAGGGGGTGGTTATGTAGATCCTTGTGATGGGTTCCCGCTTTCTCCCCAACATTCCCTCCACCCTCCTGGTATCGCCACGCTTACCACTAGTCCTGAGGGAGTTATTTGCCCTGGATTCCATGTGTTTCCAATTCTTATCTGTACCAGTGCACATCCTCTGGTCTAGCTGGATTTGTAAGGTAGAATTGGGATCATGATAGGGAGGGAGCATTAAAGAACTAGAGGAAAGTTGTATATTTCATCATTGCTATGCTGCACCCTGACTGGCTCATCTACTCCCTGGGACCCCTCTGTAAGGGGATGAGCATAGTTTTGAATACTTAGCTCTTGCTTCATAAATATTATCATTATTAAGCAAATACTGGATTTTGTTATCAGGCTTAAAGTAGCAATGACATTTGTGGTCCATGTAATATTAAGCCTCCTTGAGACTTAATTTGTTAATACAATTAGTTCCCAGGTTACAAACCTCCAAATTATGAACAACTTGTATTTGCTCTTTAATGTTATGTACATTTGCCCTCACTCTGAATTGATTGAAACAACCTGACTCCAACAAATTCTTCGCCACAATTGCCTTTACTTGATATATGTGCAGCTTTTCAGCCATCGAAAAGGTTTTAAGCCTTTTCTTGCACTTAAGCAAGGATATGTAAGAACTATATGCACCTGTTTTGACTGACCTACAAATTCAACTTGGCGGCACACTTACGGGAATGCCTGTACAGGAAAGCGGGGCAGGGGCGGGTGAATAGTATTTGCCTTTCTTACTTTGGTGTCAATAGAACTTGGAGTCACTAAAACCAACCAGGGGTGTAGTATGAGCTCTTTAAAGGGTGAGGGCCAATGAGTCCCAGGACAACTCCAGCACATTCCTTGTCCTTGAGGAGATGACACAGAAGCCAGTTACCACAGAGGAGACCGACAGATGGAAGTGCTTTGCAAGAACACAGTTGTCAAGTACAGTAGCTAATAAATCCTTTTCAAAAGTTCTGATATAAATGCTGATAAAACAGTGGACATTTTTCATATACTGTGGAAAATGAACAATGTTCCCTCAAGTATTCTAATATATGTCTGACCTAGAATTTTATGCACACCCACTCCGCTAAGTTGTCTCATTTTTGTTTTGGGGGCTGGGGGAGACTACCTTTAAGGGTTTTATCCCAATTTCTAGTGTAGAAATTACTTACCCAAGAAATGCTATTAATAAATTTGGTGTTTGTATTCGGGAGCAGAATTCACCAGTTCACTTAATAATTTTGTTAGGAAAGAGGCACAATCCAATTACAATACTAATCGCTACGGAGAGAACGGAAGCAGAAAGGAAAGATTCATTCACTTTCTCAGTTCACTCCTCAGTGAAAGGACGGACACTCAGGTTACAGATGGGAGCCCTGGTGGTGCAATGGCTCAGTGCTTGGATGCTGACCACTGAGTTGGTGGGCTGCCCTCCCTCTGGCAGTGCTCCTCTGTCACACTGAGTTACTCTAAATTAGAGTTGACGTAACAGTACCCAGCAGCAGCAGTTACAAAGAAAATGTAGAATCCTGCCGTGACGCTGCTGTCAGGAGAAAACTTACTGTGCACTTCATAGGCACAAGTATGTTATATTGAGTTTTCTGTTGTTCTATCACGTTAATATTCCCTCTTTGTAAGTCTACATATACTTGGGTTCTAAATGTGTAAAAGTAAAACAGTGATTTTCATTTTGGTTTTCCTTCCTGTAGGATTATGTGCTTGCTGTGGATGCCTATCATTCGGTTATCAAATACAACCCAGAGCAAGAGCCTCAACTGTTGAGTGGGATTGGACGAATTTTCCTTCAGGTACAGTTGGTACACTAAAGGAGAAAGCTGGGATAGACAGCCCTTTAAAAGGAGGTTAAACTGTATGTTTTTGAATTCTCTAGTTTCATGACCTATTATTTCATTTGAAATGTGTAAATACAAGAAATAGCACAATATCAGTATTTCTATCTAAATTTACAGATTTAACTCTTTACCACACTCCCAGTTTGATTGTATTAAGTCCGGCTTGCTTTGACATTATGATTATGAAGCGAACTGCGACATGTAAAATTTGCATAGCATCTGAGACACAATGAAACCTACTACTTTAGAAACTGCCCCATGGCAGTTAGAAAGGTATTGGGGAACCCATAAAGAACGTTTATTTCAACTTAGCTGACAGTATAGCAACTCACTGAAGATTTGGTTGAAAGGACACTTGTGTCCATGTATACTAGACAAAGGCAAGCCCAGATTGAAGCAGTGGTCCCAATCATGCATGAAGCTGAAGACAATCACCTCTTTGCCAAGAACATCAAGAAAACAAAAGCAAGAGTATTATCCTGGAATGTAGGGTAGCAGGAATGGGTCCCCTTATTCATTTTTCTCCATCTCTGTGCAGTATTCCTACCCTTACATACTTAGGATAAGCTGTCTATTATCTGTTATTTATCCTCCATCCCCCTGTCTTTCTCCAGATCCTCATTAAGGTTTCTGACTCTTTCCTATCTATGTGAGATAGCCAAGATAAACAATCCAGAGGAGAAAATAACAGGACCAATAGTTCCAGGGGGACAGAGGAGAGGGGGAGGTAGGGGAAATAGGGAGGAGCCAACAAACCCAGGGGCAATGAAACAACAGGAGATCTGAGAATGATGATGAGGAGGTTGTTGAATGCCTGGTGGGTTTGAGTACAATGTAACCGAGAGGAATTACTGAGAGCCAACTGAAGGTGGAACATGATAGTGGGATAGGAAGAATGTAAAAGGAAATGGAGGAAAGAACTAGGAGGCAAAAGACATTTATAGACATATAAATACAGCCATGTGTATATGTAAATATATTAATATATAGCAATAGGAAAATAGATCTATGTATATACAGTTATATGTTAACTATCAAAGTGGCAGATGGACATTGGGCCTCTACTCAAGCCATACCTCAACGCAAGAACACTTTGTTCTAATGACCTGACATTCTGTGATGCTCACCTTCCCAACATGATCGCTGAAGTCAAAATGGGTTCATAAGCAAATGTGGTGAGGAAAGCTGATGGTGCCCGGCTATCAAAAGATATAGCATCTGGGGTCTTATAGGCTTGAAGTTAAACCAAGTGGCCGTCTAGCAGGAAAGTAACAAAGCCCACATGGAAGAAGCACACCAGTCTGTGTGATCACAAGGTGTTGACAGGATCAGGTATCAGGCATCAGAGGATCCAAAACAAACAATCATATCAATGTGAACAGTGTAGGTCAGAGTGGAGACCCAAAGCCCATCTGTAAACAAATGGACATCTCAGGCATCAAAGAACAAAAAATATCATTGTGTGCTCACCTCCCTGATACAATCTCTGAAGACAAATGGATGCATAAGCAAATGTGGCAAAGAAAGCTGATGGTGCCTGGCTATCAAAAGATATCGTGTCTGGGGTCTTAAAGGCTTGAAGGTAAACAAGCGGCCATCTAGCTCAGAAGCAACAAAGCCCACATGGAAGAAGCACAACAGCCTGTGTGATCACGCGGTGTCAAAGGGATCAGGTATCAGGCGTCATCAGAACAAAAAATCATATCATAGTGAATGAGGTAGGGAGTGTGGAGTGGAGACCCAAAGCCCATTTGTAGGCCCACTGGAGATCCCCTTGCAGAGGGGTCTCAAGGGGGAGACGAGCCAGTCAGGGTGCGATGTAGCAACAATGAAAAATACAACTTTCCTCTAGTTCCTAAATGCTTCCTCCTCCCCCACTATCATGATCCCAATTCTACCTTACAAATCTGGCTAGACCAGAGGATGTACACTGGTACAGATAGGAACTGGAAACACAGGGAATCCAAGGCGGGTGATCCCTTCAGGACCAGTGGTGTGAGTGGCGATACTGGGAGGGCGGAGGGAGGGAGGGTTGGAACGGGGGAACTGATTACAAGGATCTACATGTGACCTCCTCCCTGGAAAATGGACAACAGAAAAGTGGGTGAAGGGAGACGTTGGACAAGATATGACAAAATAATAGTTTATAAATTATCAAGGGTTCATGAGGGAGGGGGAAAACTGAGGAGGGAGGGGGAAAACTGAGGAGGGAGGGGGAAAACTAGGGGCTTAGGTGGAGAGCAAATGTTTTGAGAATGATGAGGGCAATGAATGTACAAATGTGCTTGACACGATGGATGGATTGTGATGAGAGTTGTATGAGCCCCCAATAAAATTATTTTTTTTTAAATATGCCTGGTATATAGTAGGTACTCAAGACCTATTATTATTATTACCATGATTGTTGTGTACTTAAAATAATATTTGATGTCTGCACTAATTCTACATTACTCTGGAAAATATAGACGTTCTTAGAAAAATATTTGTTTTGTCTTAATTTTCATAATTTGAGAAGTATATACCTGAATTGTGTAAAAATTATGAGGATTTTTTAAAAAACATGAAAGAGAATTCTTCATTGAGAATCATTTACATAACAGCATTGATGGCAGTGATAATCTGGCTTGAATCATGTAAGCACTTTCCCGGGCCCTCTGGGTCTTGGAGAAGAAATTCCAGAGACAATCCCTTGAAAGAAAGATATTCATGCCTAAAACTTTCCTTGACATGTTATGTTAAGTAAATATTTTGAATGTTGTTAATTATTATATTTTTGTCCTTACATGTTACATAATTTTACAATTACTGAAATAAAATTATGTAATCTTATTATTTATTATACAAACATATGATATAGTTGAATATATTCATAAGTAAATGTAATACGTGAATGTAATAAGTGGGTTACAAGAAAATGTTAGTGTTCACTGTTTTCTGAGTTGAGTGAGATGACAGTTGACTTGACCTACTGAGGTCCCTAAAAAAGTAACCATTAGATTTACCACTAGTGAACTTTTTTTTTAATCCCTCTTACTGATATCTCCACTGTTGCCAGTGTCTCTGAATGTGGGGTTTTTCTAAGAGGCCAAATTTCCGATCAAAACTACAATTCTTAACCCATTGAGACATCCGTAAGACACTGTTCCCCGGTACTGACCGCCTCAGGACTTTTCAAGATCACCTTACCCAGTTGACTGCTCTGTTGCCACGTCGCTGCACCATACAGGAAATGTGCCCACAGAAAAGTTAGTAGTTCAGTAGATTCTGAATGCTGTGTGAAAATTCTGAATATTAAGAATGATGAAGACCTTAAGCAAGTTTGTCCTCCTCCTCAGAGATCACAGAACCACTTATGGAAATTGAGCTCCGTGACTGAATGTTATATTGATCACCAAATACAGCCTGCTCCCTCATGTAAGCCCATTTATACTATATCAGGAATAACATGATTTAGCTATCTTGGGAAGGGTGTCTTTTCAAATAGGAATACTGTTATTAGCTTAATAATGCCAAATTTGTTTCAAAACAAATCATTCATGCCACATGCTGAGTTAAAATTTAAAGTATAAACTTCCCCAAGACAAGTATCATGTTGATTTGAATTCACAGCCTATCCTAGATCCATTTTCGGTCTTACACTGTGATGAAGAGAGAAGCCGTGTGCCTCATGTCCAGAGCACTAAGACTTGGTTTTCTTTAAGAAAGCCAAACCGCTTTGAGATAAAGTCTGGCCTCTGAGGGCCTGGGCTTCTGCCCTTAGAGCCTAATCACCCCTTGTCTTCCTTCTGTGCTTCAGGAGCACCCTTAGACAAGCCATACACACTATAGGCAGTGTCACTGCATTGTTTCTTTACCTCGGGAAAATTCTACTTCATTTTTTTTTCATTGTTAAATAAATTTCAGTTGCGTGGAATTAAACAAGACAACCAGTGTGCAGCTGATCCACAATCAGGTGGTTCAGAAGTGGGCCTGAGTAACATCAGTAGGACAGCCTGAAACCGGCCCTCTTTGGGTTAATTTCCTGTTACGGCTTACATGCTGTGTTCTCTTCTCATTCGTGTTCTGAGCCCACTAGATTGTTTTAGCAGAGTGCCACAGAGGCAGGGACTGAGTGCATACACAACAGGGCTACTGGTCATTTACCTCCACTTTCCACTCACTGCTCTAACTCCACTCCCACACTAGGCTTCAGATCCTTGTCAACTTAATGGCCTCATTACCTCCAGCCTGCGCTAGCTCTAATTCATCCCACAGACTGCTACCAATTAGCCTTTCTAAATGCAACTCTGTCCCTGTCATCGCTGGTCAAAGAGCCCTAATGGTGCCCCATTACCTGTCAGATAAGCCATCAGCTTAAGCCAGCATTCAGGTTCCTTTGGAATTTGGCCTTCACTTGGGTTTTACAGCCAGTTTTCTCCCCACACCATACCACCATGCCCTCGGTCCTTTCACCAAACAGATAATTTGCTGATGCTTCTCAGATAAATGCCATGCTTTGGGTCTCAAGTTCCTATGTGCTGTTCTCTCAGTTTCAAACACTTGTTTTTCCTCTGGCTGTCCAAATCTTATTCATCCTTCAGGGCTCAAGTAAAAGAACCCCATAAAGTCTCACTGACCCAATAAATTCTTGGTTCTGAACTTCGTTCTTAAGGTATCTATGAGGAATAAATGCACAGTGGTTATGAGCTGAGGTTTTGGAATAAGACAGAACGGAGGGAATCCTGGCTCAGTCAACCTCTGGCTGTGTGTCTCTGAGATATTTAATCTTGCTACATTTCCGTGTTCTCATCTGAAAAATGGTCATAGGAATGTTATCTGGAGGATTATTGTGAAGATAAATGAACTGATCCATATAAAATACCTTGAGTCGTACCCGGGACGTTGGAAGAGCTCATTAAATGTTCCTCGCTGATTTGTACTTTCTCCCCACCCCACCAGCTGGACTTGAGGGATGA